TTGATAGGAATAACATAATACAAGCCATCATTTGTTAAATATGCTATTTGAACCAAACAGTTTTTCCAACAGAAGCCTTTTCTTTTCTGGCAGTATCTTCGGTGTGGTTTCTTCACCAGGAGTTAAAGTCTTGTCCTTTGGTCTTTCGTTTGGAAATTTAGCAAATGAGGGCTCATAATTGGTGACAGGATCTTCCAAAAAGTGGGTTAATTCACCTTGTTGCTGGTTTCTTGGTCTTGCACTGCATGGCATCCTTGGTTTGACTAAGGGACCAGTTGAGGGATATCCCGGATGCAAATTTTCACTGGCTTCTGTAAATACATAGTGTTTTTTCAAGATAGATGGTCTATGCCATGGTATTGCTGTTATTACTTCATCAGAAACAACTTCTTTTGCTTCCTTATCTTCTTTGTTTTCCTGTTTTTCCATTGCAACTTCAAAATTGTTTACTTTGGGCATAACATGACTTATAGAAAAAAATGATGGTCCAGCCTTTAATTCATTAAGCTCTTCTTTGAATAAGTCCAACCCTTGCCTTTCTCTCCTGCTCTTCTGCCTTTCTCTGTTTTCATCCTGGATGTTTTTTCCTACCCTTGAACCGTTCTCTTCACTTTGTAATCCTGTAAAAAATGTTATTTCAACAGTAACTATTTAGGAATATGCATTATCACTTAGACAAACAACAGTAACAAAAGGACATTATTCTATCAAGCGTCACAAATTATTTAAATTGGCGCTTTCAGTTTAAATAATTTCTCCAAGAAACATGCCAAATTCTGGATTTCTTCTGAAGAATAGACATAATTCACAGTAACATAGAGCAGTTTAAAAAAAGCATTATGCCATTAAGTTTGAATCCTTAAGCAAAAGGTATGTTCTGTGATTTTTTACAGTTCAATATTTATAGTCAACTATGGTTTTTACCCATGAATGTCCTGTTTAAAATGTTTCAGGGGAATGAACTCCTCTTTCAGGTTCAATTTTTTTTACCAATGATATATGTTTCCACATCTACGTTGGCTTTCAATTCCTGAAAGGTCACAGAAAAAAGCATAGATCTATAAATGTATGTTACCTGTTAGCTGTGTAAGTGATAAAATGTCATTAAATCTCCATTAGTAGCCTCCCTTCGACATCAATTGCAGACTGATCTATAGTCCTCATCCTTCGTTTCATTTTACTCTGTCTAATAAAGTATCTATCCAAACTCTCCCAATATTGCATTAACATAGATTAAAATGATAATCCAAGTTAGGGAAACATAAATAAATAAAAGTTTTATTTTATTTATTTCTTAGATATATATCTCACTTTTTCTTCAAGACTTCCATATTTCCTCCAATCCAGGTTATTAATTTGATTTGATTTGATTGATAGTCACTAAATACCAAAGTTGCCTAAGGTATTGTGAGTGAAGATGGACTTAAAACGAGAACTTCCTTGTCCTATACAGTTAATGCCAGAGAATCCACAAGCCATTGGGTCATTTTTTCAGAGATATCACCTTACCATTTTCTTCAATGCCTTGAACAATAACAGAGCTTCTAATGTACTGTCTTCACTAGAAAAGTTGTTAAAAATTCATGGAGATATTGAAATGTTGAACTATATAGCATGGTCAAAGATCAGCATTTGACCAAAAGAAATATTTTGTGATATTTTGTACTATGTCCTAATATGTCTTATGATAATTTTATATTATAAAATGGTATATAAATTTTGCCTAACTTCAATTCCACAGAAGTCATGGGTTCCAGATTTTGCAGTGTAAATAAGCCCATTTCAGGTATCTTGGTTTAAAAATGATTGCCCTACGACATACTGTTTTGCCTATTTAAAGTTTACACAAACTAGAGAGTTTTAATAGTATACAGATATCACTCTATCTGTATCAACAGAGTCCCCAAGACCCAGCTCAAAAGAAGGACAAAGTTATTAAGGGAGAAAAGAAGCAACCATTCCTAGCACAATAAGAATAGTCAGGAAAGAGAGAGGAAGAGTACTGCTGTTATATTTTATTTATTTGTTTAACATATTTATAAAGCTATCCGTCTCATGCATGTGACTGGGCAACACACAAAATTCAGTCAAAGCTATTATAAGCCATTAAAAACATTTAAAAACTACAAATATAATCAAAGGCTTTGGAGAGTTCATTTAAAATCCTACCTATAATATAGTCATTTCCAGTTCCCTATTTCTGTAGGATCACCAAGTCCACTGACAAAACCATATTTAAGGGATTTCCAACAGTTAATAGACTCAGAACGTGAAGCCTCCCTGTTCTGATCCAGAGTTAAGTTGCTTTGTAATTCCAGATCATATAGATAACTCAATAAGAATGATTATAAAACAGACATTTTATTCAGAAATACTTGCAGTTATGGTTGTTGCTTCTGGATATTATACATCTGTTCATCCTTATAGGTAAGAAATTAATACTCCCTCCACACCAATTTCTAACGTGGAATGAGACCATCTGAGTCCTCTGGTGCAGGGCTTTTCAACCAGTGGTACAGGTACCACCTGTGGTACATTGGCACCTGGCAGGTGGTACGCGACCATCCTAGAAAAGTCCAAGGCTACCTGTACTTCATCACTTTTTTCCTTTGGGGGGGTACAATGGATGAAAAGGTTGAAAAGCCCTGCTCTGGTGGTCCCATGCTTATCTCAGATAAAGGCATTCCAAACTGGCACATGGCCAGGATATCCTGTAAAGAGCTCAATAACTCCTCCCACAGACCTGTTAACAGCTAAAACTACATTACCCATAAGCCATCTCTTACGGAGACAGCACTTCACCCAATAAATGCCAAACATTCTAACATACAGATCTACATGCTATGCTCAGGGTTACATGATACAGAATCAAAAAGATGGCAGCTAAGCTACCTCAAAAAGATGGCAGCTAGGCCAAAACCTTCCCTGAACTTCCTCACTGGGCATGCAAGTGAATCAGAAATAGCTTTATTTGGAGAATTGCTTTGAATTTTTTTATGGTTGTCCTTTTGGCATTTTGAGCGAACTAGACATTATTTCTTCAGCAAACCAGGATCAAAACATGGATCAGTATAAAATAGTATCACAATCCACACATTATCCCAAGAATTTCCTATTAATACAATAAGAAATTTTCAAGTTGCATCCCTGAGCTTCCTTTCTGAAAACAAAATTACGTTTGTAACATAGTAATAAATTGTCTGCAAAAAAAGAGTAGAAGATTCATGTTACAAGAGGGAAATTATCAGCGGAACCAAAACTTACAAATCATCAGAAGTTAAGAATGATAAAAGGATTTTTCAGCTGTTTCATACCTCGTGGAAGCTCAGCGGACTTCCTTCAGGCTCACGCTTCCGAAGAGTTCTGGGTTTCAGGCTGATATTTCCCTGGATTGCTTTGCTGACTTTAACAACTATGAAACATCAAAAATAAATAAACATGACACATTCAAGTGATATTTTACTAACATGTTTGAAGTGATTTAATTTTCACGCTTTCATATTGCTTTTATTGCATTTTACTAGATACTAATACAAATAGCTATAATGGGATGTTAAACTATAGGTAGTTCTAGTGTGATGGGCAGATATGCTATATAAATTTGACATATATATAAATAAATTTGCCTGTGACTTACACTTTTTGCTGCAAAATACACCATTTAACTCATTTGTAAAATGACAGCATGGCATGAGAGAACATTAATCCTGCGACACCACTGTGTCACCATGGCTCAATGGTTAGAGTACAGTTCAAGCTTTGTTCCCATTGCCTGAATTACTTCATTTGTTTTTATATATTCATCCAAAAAAGCACTTGAAAGCTCAGCTTCTCCTGATAATCTTCTTTCATTTCTTTTATGTGTAACCATTGCCCTAAAACATAGCTAAAATTTTAAAATTAAGTTTATAACATTAAATCCAATTGGTCTAGTAAATATAATTAGATTACAGTTTTGGGCTCCCTCGTGTGGTGAAACAGCATCACTGACTATAAGCTGCAAAAAATATTCTCCTTTATTCATTTCAAGTAGGAAAGAAAGATGCTTCAAGAAATTCTTATTTGATAAGATTTGATTGATAAGCATGTCATAAAACATCTTTTTCAAAATTCCTTTAATATATGTTTTATAAAAATGTGCAAAAAATTAACAAAAGTTTTTTGTGATGCTTATTGCAATAGTAACTATAGAAACTTCTAATATCTCCTAGTCTTCATATTATCTAATAACTACTATCTATAATATATTCTAATACTAATATCCACTATGTAATATATCCTAGTTCTAATACTAATATCTACTAGCTAATATCACTTAATTCTATTATCTACTATCTATCTTCATTCTAACACTAGTAATACCTAATATTGATTAGTTTTAACACTATATAATATCTACTATATAATATATTCTAATGCTAATATCCACTATCTAATATATCCTAGTTCTAATACTAATATCTACTAGCTAATATCACTTAGTTCTAATACTATCTAATACCTACTATCTAATATATCCTAGTTCTAATACTATCCTCTATCTACACTCTAATATGTCCTAGTTCTAATATTCTCTGATTATTATCTAATATCTATCCGCTTGACTGGAATCCCAGCCATCATTTGTTATTTAAAATGCGGTTTCGACCAAATAGTTTTTCCAACAGAAGCCTTTTCTTTTCTGGTGGAATCTTCGGCCTGTTTTCTTCAACAGGAGGTGAAGGGTTGTTTTTTGGTCTCTCATTTTGAAATTTGGTAAATGAGGGCTCATAATCTCCTAAAAAGATCCTTGGGTTGCTTAAGGGATCAGTTGAGGGATATCCCTGATGCAAATTTTCTTCTTTTGCTTCCTTATCTTCTTTGTTTTCCTGTTTTTCCATTGCAAGATCTTCCAAATTGTTTACTTGGGACATAACATGATTTATAGAAAAAAATAATGGTCCAGCCTTTAATTCATTAAACTCTTCTTTGAATAAGTCCAACCCTTGCCTTTCTCTCCTGCTCTTCTGCCTTTCTCTGTTTTCATCCTGGATGTTTTTTTCTACCCTTGAGCCATTCTCTTCACTTTGTAATCCTGCAAAAAACGTTATTTCAACAATAACTATTTAGGAATATGCATTATCACTTAGACAAACAACAGTAACAAAAGCACATTATTCTATCAAGCGTCACAAATTATTTAAATTGGCGCTTTCAGTTTAAATAATTTCTCCAAGAAACATGCCAAATTCTGGATTTCTTCTGAAAAATAGACATTGTTCACAGCAACACAGAGCAGTTTTAAACAAAGCATGAGGCCACTATGTTTGAATCCTTAAGGAAAAGGTATGTTCTATTATCTTTACAGTTCAATATTTATAGTGAACTATGGTTTTTACCCATGAATGTCCTGTTTGAAATGTCCGCTGGTGATATTTCAGGGAGATGAACTCCTGTTTGAAGCTCAGTTTTTTTACCAATGATGTATAATGCTTCCACACCTGCGTTGGCTTTCAATTCCTGAAAGGTCACAGAAAAAAGCATATAGCTATAAATGCATGTTACCTTTTACCTGTGTAAGTGATAAAGTGTCATTACATCTCCATTAGTAGCCTCTCTTCCATATCAACTGCAGACTTATCTATAGTCCTCATCCTTCGTTTCATTTTACTCTGTCTAATAAAGTACTGTATCTATCTAAACTCTCCCAATATTGCATTAACATAGATTAAAATGATAATCCAAGTTAGGGAAATATAAATAAATTAAAGTTTTATTTTATTTATTTCTTAGATGTATATCTCACTTTTTCTTCAAAACTTCCATATTTTCTCCAATCCAGGTTATTAATTTGATTTGATTTGATAGTCACTAAATACCAAAGTTGCCTAAGGCATTGTGAGTGAAGATGGACTTGAAATGAGAACTTCCTTGTCCTATACAGTTAATGCCAGAGAATCCATAAGCCATTGGGTCATTTTTTCAGAGATATCACCTTACCACTTTCTTCAATGCCTTGAACATAACAGAGCTCCTAATGTACTGTCTTCACTAGAAAAGTTGTTAAAAATTCATGGAGGTATTGAAATGTTGAACTATATAGCATGGTCAAAGATCAGCATTTGACCAAAGGAAATATTTTGTGACATTTTGTATTATGTCCTAATATGTCTTATGATAATTTTATGTCATAAAATGGTATATAAATTTTGCCTAACTTCAATTCCACAGAAGCCATGGGTTCCAGATTTTGCAGTGTAAATAAGCCCATTTTAGGTATCTTGGTTTAAAAATGATTGCTGTATGACACAGTTTTGACCATTTAAAGCTTACACAGAGACAAACCAGAGAGCTTTAATAGTATATAGATATCACTCTGACTACCTTTATAAACAGAGTCCCCAAGACCCTGCTCAAAAGAAGGACAAAGTTATTAAGGGAGGAAAGAAGCAACCATTCCTAGCACAATAAGAATAGCCAGGAAAGAGAGAGGAAGAGTACTGCTGTTATATTTTATTTATTTCTTTAATATATTTATAAAGCTGTCCTTCTCGTGCATGTGACTGGGCAACACACAAAATTCAGTCAAAGCTATTATAAGCCATTAAAAACGACAAATATAATCAAAGGCTTTGGAGAGTTCATTTAAAATCCTACCTATAATATAGTCATTTCCAGTTCCTATTTCTGTAGGATCACCATGTCTGTTGCCAAATCCATATTTTAAGGAATTTCCAACAGTTAATATGTTCTGGTTTAGAATCAGAGACATCGAAGCGAGGCAGGAGTAACAAAACACAACTTCTTTGTTGAGCTCACTAACAGAGCAGAACAGCAAACAAAATGGCGCTGGCTCTTTTATACTTCCCTTGCAGGGACAGCATCAGCCAATCAATGCAGGGCTAGTCTCCCACCTTGCACATGCTCACAAGGCTGGAGACAGCCTGTCTAGACCCAGGCAATCACATGGTCTGCCCGGGCCTTCTGCAGCCTCCTGCCCAGGACATAACATAATAGACTCAGAACTTGCAGCGTGCCACTTCCTCAAAAAGATGGCAGCTAGGCCAAAACCTTCCCTGAACTTCCTCACTGGGCATGCAAGTGAATCAGAAATGGCTTTGTTTGGAGAATTGCTTTGACTTTTTTTATGGTTGTCCTTTTGGCATTTTGGGCGAACTAGACATTATTTCTTCAGCAAACCAGAATCAAACCATGGATCAGTATAAAATATTATCACAATCCACACATTATCCCATGTCTTAAAACATTTTCTTAACTATCCCAAGAATTTCCTATTAATGCAATAAGAAATTTTCAAATTGCATCCCTGAGCTTCCTTTTTGGCAACAAAGTTATGTTTATAACATAGTAATAGATTTTCTGCAAAAAAAAAAAAAAAAAAAAAGAGTAGAAGATGCATGTTACAAGAAGATGGCAAATCAGCAGAACCAAAACTTACAAACAATCAGAAGTTAAGAACCATAAAAGGCTTGTTCAGCTATTCCATACCTCGTGGAAGGTCATTCGACTTCCTTCAGGTTCACGCTTCCCAAGAGTCCTGGGTTTTAGGCTGATCTTTCCTCGTATTGCTTGGCTGATTTTAACAACTATGAAAAGTCAAAAATAAATAAATAAACACGACACATTCATGACTGACATCAGTGAAAGGCAAGTGATATTTTACTGGCATGTTTGAAGTGATTTAATTCTTATGCTTTCATATGACTTGTATTGTATTTTATTAGATACTAATGCAAATAGCTATACTGGGATGTTGTACTATAGGTAGTTCTAGTGTGATGGGCAGGTACGCTATATAAATTTGACATATATATAATTTGCCTGTGACTAATACTTTGCTGCAAACTAAACCAGGATTTGAAATATTTTTTGATGAGTCAAAAGAATTATCATATTTTTATTTCACAATAAAATCTGAAACAAACTCTGTGCTACCTTTTGGAGAAGAAGAGGAATCACCTTTCTCTGGCTGACGTTTCCGCATCTCTTCTGCATAAATATCTGTTATGCTTAGTTCTCGTTCTCTTTCCTAAACAAATGCATTATTAAATTGATGTTGATAATATAGTTTATTGTATTAATGTCAGATCTTCAGAGATGATACATTTCACTGCATAACTCCCCCCAGTATCTCATTTTATTTATCTGTATTTTAATTCTTTGCTAATGCATAATTTGGCCAAATTCTTCCTGAAGGATACATATGCTTTTTTCCTGGAACTGTGAAGTTTTTTTATCAGGTTTTTTATAAATTTTTACAATTCATAAACCATTAATTCAATTTGACCTTAAAGGTCCTTCCAAATATATTGATACAAAATAGTTATGACTTTAACAAAGTATATACTGTGTTTTCCAAAAAATAAGATCTATTCTGAAAAAGAGCCCTAGCCTGATTTTCATGCATGCCCCTAATATAAGCCCTACCCCAAAAATTAAGCCCTAGTCAAGACACTCCATCCAGATTTCATTGGTGCTGCCGCCACGAGGTGAGGAGAGGCAGGTGGAGCTGCCCACATGCCCTGCAGCCGTGCATCTCAGGGTCCCTGCAGTCAGGCCACTCCTTTCTTGGCAACCTGCCTATTCTGCCCACCTGCCTTTCGGTTTCAATCCCCTTCTGAGCCAGACTGCCATGCTATGGAGCATGTGTGGGGGAGGCTCGGTCACCTTTCCTGCCGTTTCAGAGCCAGGGAGGAATGCTGTGCGAGAGCCACATGCACCTCTGGAGGAATTTTCTTCGGTCTTGGCCACCCCTCTTCCCTCTGCAGATCACCTGTCCAGCAGCATCTGCCATCTCCACCTCCACTGCCAACTGTCCCATGGCTTGCGCTGTGACCAGGCGATGCAAGCCTCCCCTGCCACGTCTCCAAGGCTCCAAAAGTGAGCTAGCTCCTGCCTACCTCTGTGATAATGACTGAGAGTGACATCGTGCCTAGGCTCCAGGTTCCTGGTACAGAAGTTGAGCAGGGCCTTGAGGCAGTAGCTGCTGCACTGGAACTACACCTGCTGCCCACCGTGTTTATCCAGGGGGATGCTAGCATTGAGCCACACCATGCTCAGGTTGGTGTTAGCAGGCACTTGGCAACACTGCTTGGGAATGGTGGCCAAGAAGACAACAGACACCCCCATGTAGTCATTGGGAATGATGCTGGCACTGATCAGAAAGAAGATGAGGCGGTGGAAGGGGCCCAGGACAGAAGAATCAGGGGCCACTTCACGCCTTTGGGTGTGGTTTGTATATAAAGGCCTGAAGTGCCATGCTTAGCTTGCTGCTGAAGAAACCTGTGCCGCAGCTCTTCAAGTTTCCATACGGAAGAAAGGGAATCACTGCCTGTCTTTTTTTAAAAAAATAAATCTGATGAATCAGCTTTTCTCCGTTTACCCCTCGGCATCTGTACTGATTAGGCCTGGATTTCTAAGAGGCAAGGCAGGTGGTGGGGTGTGGAAGACTTGGCTGAGGGGACCCTGAATTAAGTGGGTGTGGGGCACAGGGGGCATCTCTCCCCTCCCCCCACCTATACTGGTGGCAGCAGCACTGACATGCAGTGGATGAGCAGACACCCAGGATTTTGCTTGACAGGGATGTTTGTGATGCCACGGCAAGGCGAGGCAGTTTTCAGGGAAAAAAATAAGGCATCCCCTGCAAATAAAACGTAATGCCTCTTTCTGAGACAAAAAATATATAAGACTGGGTCTTATTTTTGTGCAAACAGTATTAAATATGTATTATAATGTGGAGGAGGAGGAGGAAGAGAAGAAGACAAGAGTAAAAACTTGTTCATTTCAATTCTAATAAAGCCATAATATGCTTTATTTTTTGGCTTGGTATGATGCTAAGTCCGATATGTTTAGCCAATATATAATTTTCAACGTGCTGATTAGGCCAATGTCATCAACCGACTAATTAAAGAAGAGTCATTTTTACAAAAAATCTCAATTTTCTATAAAACTAAGCCTAATGTACAGAAATGAAAGGAAGTGTGAAGAGCAAGAAGTTTTGTCCAACATCCACTCAAAACACCCCAGTAGTGTTTTTCAACATCCATCTAGGATCATGTGGTGAAACTAAGATTTATCAGTAATTAGCTTAGCTAGCCTGCCCATATCAATTTTAATACACAATTCCAACTAGTCTATTTATAATCTTCTTGTTTTCCTACATTCTTATTTTTCAATAATGTCTTTTTATACCTTGAAATTTTGATTTCATTAATGGATATGAAAATTTATTACCAAAATCTTCCTCACTGCATATTTGTGCAGCTACTCCTTTTCTTTCAGGATTGATACAAGGTTTGTAAAAAGCTGGCATTATACCAAAAGATCCTATTGCATCTATTTTCCTAGAGATGGACTGAAGAAAGAAGTCATTGGTAAAAAGTCATACAGCTGGACAAGCTAGTCTGTGTCAGGAAATTAAACCTAGACTGGTCACCGCCTATCACTATTATCACTATTATTGGTAAAGCTTGGGAAAAAGTATTCTAACAATGACGTTTGAAATTATGATCTCTTCCAGCAAATAAGAAACTCTCAAAGAACTGAAGTGGGAAACCTAATGCAGCACATTTATGTCTCTAATTGCTGGATAAATATTTAAAAATCTGAATACGAATAGATTTCCTTGTAAAATAGAGCTTTGAGGAAGCTGTTCTTGTTTCTTAATGCATTTCTTTATAGGGGTCTCACAGGGCCCAGCTAGGTTGTTCTAAGCAATGTACGTTGCATATTACCTGGATTCTCTTATCACTGGCTTCCAATTTTGGGGGAAGTGATGTTAATTTAGGACAAGGTTCTCCTCTCTCTCCATGTTTCTTGTCTTCAGAAAGTTTCTGGAAAGTCAATAAGGTGTCCGTTGTTTTTAAGAGTTCCGCCTGAACCTCTCTCAGCTTCTTAGAATCCCTGCGCTCTTCTTCCTCAGATGTCCTGAGAAGACGCTTCAAGATTGTATTTTCCATAGCAAAGGTCTCCAATTTATTCCTCAGAAAAGCCACTTCATTTTTCAATTCTTTAATTTTATGGTCTCTTGATGACAATAGACGGCAAGCCATGTTATTTTTCTCATGATCATTGATAATGTGGTCAGTCATGAATGTGATCTTCTGCTGAGGTTTCTTTTCAGGAAATGTTTTACCTCCAACGTTAAAAAAAATATCAAGATGGCAAATAAGATTTGGCAAAGTAAGGATCACATATTTTTACATACGGCTCAGAGCCAAACACTCAAAGGTGAATTCATCACATAGATTCAATTCCATTTATATAATTTCTTGAGTCAATGTCTAATGCAATTATTTGTGGATTGACCTATTGTGAAAAATCATACCTGAACTCTCATAGAACTCCTCAACCAGTCATGCCTAAAGTAGGATTGCTAAGCCAATACTCTAACCACTATTTAAAACTCCTTATATAGACTGATTGATAGATACACACACACACATACACACACACACACACACAGCATATCTAAATACTGATAAAATATTGAAAGTAATGGACTGAAAAACAATGGAAGAGTGATCATCCAAATTTGTAATCGAAGTTCGGAAAAGTTGCACAACTGTTCTCCAGTACAGGAGATGGAGAATCCACCAATGGGTTTTCTCTGTCTGCCTGCTCTTGAGACCAAGTTAGCCAAACGTGACACGCCCCCTATTGCTAGGAGACACAGTCCGGACTTGGTCTCAAGCTCTTGAAGACGTGTCAGGTTTGGCTCTCTGATTTCAATAGTCTCTATTTAACTAGCTAGCAGATAGTTTTTCCATTGTTGGATTCTCCTCTTACCTTTCAAATTCGGCAGGTTGGTGGATTCTTTGATCCTCTCCTCACACCCCATCTCTCTTCCAGAAGCGCTGAGATCAGCGCTGCCTCAGATCGGACGATCTGAGGCTTGGTTGGGGGGGGTGACTACAGCTGTTTTTTTTTCCTTCCCCAGGGCTCTGGGTGACTTCCTTTCCTTCTACCCTCATTCATGGGACCCCTTGTGCTGCTTCTGGGACCACTTCCTCAGTGTAAATGACCCCATGAGGCTTCAGGCAGCTTCCCCAATGGCCGGCAAGTCGCGGCTGCCATTTTGGGTGCCGCCGAACTCTCCAAGAACTGAAAATGAGCCATTTACCTCACATGGCTTCAGAC